AACATACATAAATATTCATAAACATGTATAATCATATACGAGATATGTCCATACATGTTCATACATCTATTTTTCTTTTGTAAAATTACTTTTTAGTGTAATAGAAATAATAATGGTAATAATAATAGTAATAATAATAGTAATAGAAAACATTAAAAATAATTAAAAGGATAATTTCTGCATTGTTCATTTAAGAAAAAAACGCAGAGTTTGGGAAAATATATAAAAAATTGTTCATACACAATTATACGTAATTTTATATATAATTATACATAAATAATTCTCTTTTACATTTCTTTAAACTTGATTTTTTTCTAAAACAAACGATACCTATGAAAATTACCCTTTTTTAATGTTTTCACACATTACTATTATTTTTACACTAAAAAGTAATTTTACAAAAGAAAGAGGGATGCATGAACATATTTCATAGATGATTATATATATTTATAAATATTTATGTATGTCTCTACATATTTATACATATTCATGCATAAAAAATTTGTTACCGGGGATTAAGTTATCCCACTGAGTTTATTAGTATGCGATAGGATATGGTTAAAAATTAACTGCGTTCAGCAGAGAAAGCAGCTTTGCAACTGTTATAAAATTCTTCTATGTAATTGGTTTACATACATTTAAATCCATAAGGAATCAAAAGCAAGAATCAATCGTATTGAAGAATTTTACAATAATCGAAAATCTACTTTCTTGAACGCAGTAATTAACTATATTCGCGATGTTATTGCACATTTATGATGTAATGTATAATAGGTAGAAATACACGGGTGTACATGGGTCTCTGCGAATAGGCACGAATGAAAATACGGATAGGTAGGATAAATATGGACGGTAGGCAGGGACTATATAGGTAGGATGATAAGTATAGACAGATAGAATTAAATACGTCATATGTATATATTTGATAATTGAAAATGAGGGATTAAAAATTGAATAAAATTTTAAATTAATTTTAAGTTTTATTTAATTATCAACATATCGTTCCAATTATCGAATATGAAAATAAACCAAATTAATTTCAAATTTTATTAAATTTTCAGCTATCCTGAAATTAAACTTTTTTGTAAAATTCTATTAGGTGTTGGAATTAATTCGTAGCGTTTTTTAATGAAAGAATGTTATTTATTTCACATGAGCATTAAAAAATACATTAATGAAAGTACTTTTAAAACTTATAAATACTTTGTAAAACGCTACGAATTAATTCCAACACCTAATATATATACGTACAAATTATGTAACGCGTTAATAAACTTTAATATAATAATGTAATAAACTTTATTGTAAATAAATGTATATGAAACCTTTTTTTTCATTTTTTACTAATCATACATATACTAATATATATTGAATATCTATTCAATATAAATAGCATTTATCTTGTCGTAGTAAACCAAATTGTTGCATAATTGATGTAAATTATACGAAATCGACGAAACATATAGTAACAAAAAATGTTTATTGATTTAATAAGTTTTATAAATATTTAATTTTAAAACTTTTTTTAATTTAGATTTTATTTTGTATGTTAAAAAGTCATTAATAATTTTAAGTAATTTCTTATTAAAAATTTGATGTTCAGAATAATCGTCATTTTTTGTTCGTATTTAATACAAATTTATTAAATATGTCATAAAGATTGGAGTTTTGATTGAGGCAATGGTTAAATATTAACCTCTTATTTGCTTTTCGACATTTACATTTTTTACATTATAGAGTTACAAGTATATTTTAGTGTACAATTTATTATATGCAAAGGTCATATCATATCGCTATCTCTCATGTCAGATGAATGCCAGTGATTACGTGGTTTGTATCGATGGAAAGTCGAAATTATTTTCATTATGAAGAATTATTCCTCCTTTTCGTGAAGTCTATTCGCGAAGTCTAGTTTGGTGTCTCTTCGGAGATTCTTGTCAGGATTGGAATTAATTCCGGGTTTTCTGCAGTTACTGTTAGTAATAATTTTGTTAATGAGCCAATGACAATTGCTATATATTTTAAAGGCAAGTTGCAAAAATAATTTAATGATATATTTTAGCACACAATTTTCGCTTTCTTTGTTTTTTTATTAAATATTCTCTCACTAATAATAATAATATTAGTAACAGTACTGTCTTAATAATAATAGGAATTTAGTATTGTATGGTTGAAATGGACATATATTATTATTATTTGTATAAATTCAAATTATTAAGTAAACAAATTTAAGTTTTATACAAATAATTTGCTAATTTTTCGATGATTGTTCTAATAAAAATATGGTTACGAATGTGTATATTTAATTTTTTAACTGTTTTAAAATTATTTTTAGGTATTGGACATCCCGCCATTGCAAAATATTTTTAATTATTAATTTATATGTGTATACACTTTTCTATGATAAAATACATGCAAATATTATGAGATTATATTTAACAAATATTAATTTTTTGTTGATGTACATAATTTTTTTCAAAATTCTTTATAGTCTTTTATCAATGTATCGTGATTACATGAGTTAAATTAAAAATGTATGGGTACAAAAAATTTAAGATAAGTCGAATGGGTACCCTTATATTAGCGGGATATTAATAATTGTAATTTTTGAAAAATAAAAAAATTGTTAAATTTTATATAATAAATTTTTTATCATAAATGTTCTTCAAAATCTCATTATTATTGGGTTCGACTCATCTCGAACAGTTGGTACTCGAGAAACTTTTGTCCTCATACATATAAAAAATTACAATAATGCATGTATTTTGTTATTATTAAATATATTCCTTCGTAACCACTATTCCTTAAGGAAATCATTTTATTCGTTTATTTTTAATAAGAGAACATATTTTCTCGCGAATTTTAATATTATATTAAGGATGTGATAAAAATGGTAATTGTAATTGATATGCTACCAAAATTATTACTATCGTAAGTCTGAAAGATTCGAGATGTACACCTTCCTGTAAAAAGATCACTGGTATTTGACGCATGCTTAACTTTTCTTTGTAAATGGATTTTGTGAATTTGAAGTAGAATCAGAATACATTAAGTTCATTCTCCACTGAAGATTGTTCTTCTTTATATCGAATACTAACCAGCATACAAGACGGAGAGACTTTGATACGATGAAATTATTGAGATAGTTATCTTGAACACGATGAAAGTTGTTATAAAAATATATTAATGACTTTTTATCGCGATATTATTAAGTTTTATATTTGCAAATTAATAAAAAAAATAATTCGCTCTTTTTGGGGGATATTAAAAAAGGTCCGATTTTTGTCTAAAATAATGTAAGTAAAAGAAATAGTGTTTTTGTAGATTTTGACTTCCTGAATATGATAAAATTATTAAAATGTTCGTGGCACTTGGGGAACACCTTGAAAAATAAGTAAGAATATTGAAATTTGTTCAAATATATCATATTCATATTCAATTCTCAAGGTGTTCTCTATCGATCTCCAACTTTTTATTAATATTATATTATCGTATTCAGGAAGTATTCAAAATCTATAAAAAACGCTTTACCTAATTCGCCAAAATTAAAAAATCCTTTTCCATTTTGTTCATAACTTATTATTATCCCCCTCCTTTTTTTTTAACAAAACATCTTATTAACCAAATTTAATTAAATTATGACTAAATTATCTAATTTAATCTTCTTAACTTTTTTTTCACTAATATTTTTTATTATATTTACTCTCTTAACCAATTCCCTCAACATCAGCTTCATAATCATTATACTAATCCTAGGTTTATAGATTTTGTCTAAAGCTAACCTTTTAGACATAACCAGTATTCCTTTTACTTACATGATTGTTGGCAAAAATCGGCCTCTTTTTGTATTATGATACGTATTTTCGACGTTTTCGTATAATCCCACATTATTACAATTTTTTAATTATGCTTCTATATTATCATTTATTTTATTATATTTTGAATAGCATTTATAATTACATAATATTGTATAATGTTTTGTAAATAATTATTATAATTGTAATATTAAATTGTATAAAGATTACAAAAAATAATAATATTAAAAAAGTTATTGCAATTTTATTAGTTAAATACAATAAAATAATTAGACATAAAAACAAAAAATTAATTAAAAATATACTTAGTTGCAAAAACGGGCTACTAAATTTGTTAGTAACTCGTTTTTTTTTATGGATGAGTATATATAAAGAAAAGAGGACTGCCGATAAAATTGGCGGGAGTGGAGGGCCTCTATAACTCGTTTTTGTTAAACTATACCTTAAATTGACAATACATGTTTAAAAAAGTTTGAATTTATTAGAAATCTATAATTATGTTAATAATTTTGATACATACTAGTAATTAATGTTTGATAAAAACAGGCTGAAAATTTGCATAAATAAACATAACTTCGTAATTTTATAAAATATTATAAGGTAAATATAAGGAAAAAATTCTCTTTTATAGAAACTAAATTGTTGAATTTTCAATTTCGTTTATTAAAATTGAACAATTTTTATTTACATATGTAGGAGATGCGAAATTAAAATTTTTTCATTAAATTATCTCTCTTATAGTCGGCACGCTTCTGTCCTGAGGATTTAGTATAGCAACGAACCACATCTACTTTCGATGATACGATTTTATCGATAGCGTCAGAAAATGTATTGGGTCATCTAAAAAGTATCCGCGGTTTTTTGTCACTAGATAGTGTTGATGGTCAACATCATCTAGTAACAAAAAACCGCGGATACTTTTTAGATTACCCAATATATAGTCACGTAGTTCCCAAACTGAAAATGGATCTATTGACGGCAGTGTACGGCTAATTTTGACGGTAACAGGAAAAAGACCAGTATGACTTCTCTCAGGTTTCTCTCTGATCTAATAAGTTTCGGAATGCAAATAGGCCTAGTTTCCACCGAGGAGAAACTGGATCAGAATGTAAGAACCAACCAATTACAGTCGAGTATTCCTCTGTTAGGATAAAATCACACAGTATGGAAAACAACTGCGGAATAGAGAGTGCGTCATAGAAGCAACTAATCAACATTACTCTGCGTTATTCCGAATAGCGCTAATTGTTTTAATGACGCATCCTCTATTCTGTAGCTTTTTTCCGCACCCTGTTTTCACTCTTACAATCGAACGACAGGAGAATGCTTGACTGTAGGTTGGTTCTTACATTCTGATCCGGCTTAAACCCTCGTTGGTAACTAGACCATAGACGGCAACTTTTTTAGTGAGTTTTGGAACGCATCATTCTTGATTTTCTCTCAAAAAGGTTAAGAAATTTTTCTTAATTAAATTCTTTTAATCGGATGTTCGTGTTGTTTCATAATTATTGTTCAAACGCGTTTTATAAACTCTTGCATTCTATGATTGTTGGAGGTATATTACAGCTAAAATTAACAATAATCTTATGTGATGATTTATCATGTAATTATATATATTAATCTTCGAATGTTATTTATTTTTCTTACACTAATACTATTCTAGATACAAATATTTACAAATATTAACAAGTTTTTCACACTTTGTCATATCATAATGTTCATAGACTGCAGATTGCAGAATAACTAACAGTATTTTATTATTAAAAAAATAAATTTTAATGTGAAATAGTGTGAAATAATGTGAATAATTGTATTAAATGTTACTTTATATTATTAACATTTTAATTTAAAAACCCATACTAAACTTGAATTAGAACTTAAGTGAAAATTCATTGTAGCAATCACAGTAATATTCCAAGGTTAATATTTGTAATTGTGCGTTCCATTTGACGTTTGCATTGTTGCAACGTTCATGGAATCATTTCATTCTTGTTTCAATCAAATGTTAAATAAAAACAAATAATGGTTGCTAATGTTATGAAGTCAAATGGAACGAATATATATATTAGCGAATAATTTATTTCTATAGCGAATAATTTATTTTGCTGTAGGTTAGGGTTGAATTATGGGAAAGATTTATTCGGTATTGACTCGACCTATTCGCACATTTAACATTGAAAATCGTGCGGCAAAACTTATTTCCCGAGAAAAGCCAGTACCTGCACCTCAATATGCGTCTACAGAAAAACAAAAGAAGTTTTCAGACCAAGGTATTATATGATATGTTCCAAATCATAATTTAATGATTATAATTTAAAATTGTATTCAAATTACTATCTTTAATAGTTCTTTCAATTTGTCAAATTAAATTTGATCATATAATTATCTTCTGTTCAGTAAATCCATACTTTTTGAAAGACCATTACCAAAAGAACATGCAACTGGATCAACGATTAAAAGATGTTTTTGTTACGTCAACTGACTCGCAAGTATGGGTTGATTATTTTTGAATATTGTATTAATGTTTTTATATGTTAATATAAAACATATTTTTATATGTTAACATAAATTTATTGAACACAAGTGGATTTGATTATCGAGCAGATGTAAAATTTACAATATTATATAGGAAATGAAAGAGTCAGAGAGAGACTCCAAGGTTTTACCTCAAAACAGACGGAGCTGGGAAAATAATTTTACATTTGAATCTTATGAATCTACAATGATTCCTATGGGAAAGTGCTCATTGAAGCAAGCTCTCACATTTCTTTTGCAACATAAACGCGATCCTATAAAATATAATAGCGAAAATATAGCTTCTGAATATAAAATGGATAAGAAAGTAATAGGTTTGTATTTTTATTTGTTTCTTTGATACAATTAATTTATTATATTTGTTATATATTTAGCATATTTATTAGATTTACATTTGCTTGATAGCTACAGCTTAACATTTATAGATTTGTATATTTTTATTTTTTAGATGATATATTGAAGTATTTTAAACTTTATGTGACTGCCTTACCAAACAATTCAAAACCTATAGAGTTTTTGGATTCAATAGAAGATCCAATTCAAGAGCTTATAGATAAAGGATTAGAGGCCAAAAGAAAGGATAAAGAAAAGAAAAAATAGTACAGATATGTATATAGAAAAATAATTTATTAAAATTTATTTCTATGTTTTTCTTGCCTAAATGTAATTATATGATATCCTATATCAATCTTGGAAATGATATAATTTTTTAAAAAAGTTCCGTAAAGCAAAAAAGGTCTGTAATTTTTGGCAAATATTTGGCAATATAGACGTGTTTCCTAGTTTAGTCGTGTATTCTTGTGAAATCTGCAACAAAAATTGATACATCATTCTAGTTTCAGTGAATAAATTGTAATAAATGCATAAGATTGTGTTTGAATATCGCTTACTTTTTATAATGTGATAAATGGCAACAATTATAACTAAAGTATGGAATTGCCTATTGGTAGACGACATTGCCTGAGAATTATCAGAGAAATAATAGCTGCCTGTTTCTGGAATGGTCATAGTTTTCGCCATCATCCAGTAAAATGCTTTCATTTTTAAATTCTTTTTTAATTCTGCTCCGACTTCTTCCCGTATACGTTTATTGTAATTATTTAGCCAACGCCGCTATGTAATATAAACATGTTAATATTATGCAACAGCTCGTTATTTTTTGATTATAATAATTAAAATTAAGTAGTTGTAGAATATATTTAAAACTTACATGTGGTGAAGTTAGCATATTGATCTTGATAAGTTTAGGTTCGTACGGGACCAGAGTGACGTCTCTGAATTTGAGAAATCTTTGTCCATTATGAGACTAAAACAATTATCAGCTAATAATTAAAAACTAGAAATTATAATTTTTTTGTGTCATTACACAGCTGTTTTATATATTTCGTATTAATAATTAATTACGTATACGATCATATAATAGATGAGAATGTATCAAAAGATATACCAATTTATCAGCCGGAATTACTTCAAGAATATTCTCCAAACGAACACCAAAATTGTCTTCTTTGTAATATCCCGGTTCGTTTGAAAGAAAGAATCCTGGCTTCAACTTGACTGAACATCCTGCATTTTTGCATCCGTAATACAAGCTGATAGGCGCTGCAACGCGTATTGTTCCACTAGAATGGCTTTCATCAATTGTATTCCATATTCTCGTGACGCAATTATTTTACAGGAAACTGTAGATTACGAACATTCGTGAACTGAAGAAAAATGACCAATTCCGTGACCAGTGCCATGCATGTAATCGTAACCGCTACTCCATAACGACCTTCGCGCAATAACATCCAATTGGTCTGCCGATAGATCATTGGGAAAGATCAAAGATGATAATTCAATTGAACCGATCAGCACTCTCGTGTAGGCTTTTTTCTGTTCATCGGTCGGCACTCCCAAGTGAAGAGTTCTGGTCACGTCTGTGGTACCCTCTGTTAAATAATTTTGCTCATGCAATTTATATTTCGACTACTTGCGATCGGTGAAGAATTGGAGGAAACGTAAAAAAGGATAATTGAATGTTTTTCGAATTTTATATTTAAAGTAAATTTTGAATTTAAAATTAATTTTTGTTCCATTTAATTCAACTTGCTATTCCTAACAAAATAAAATAAAGGGATTCAGAATTTCGTACCCAAGTATTGTCCTCCAGAATCGATCATTAGAGTGGATGTGGTCCCGATTTTAATGTTGGTCAAGTTATTTGGTTCGTAATGCGGCATAGCGGCGTGCGGTCCATATCCTGCGATTGTTGGGAAAGCGATACCCATATTGCCATCTTGCTCGTAACGAATTTCATTGATCACTTTCACTACTTGCATCTCGTCCCATCCTTCAGAGTCCAATTTGTATTGCTCTTCCTCCCTGCCACTTCGACTTTGTTTTTTTCCGCTCTCAGATCAATTATAGGCGAGGCCTTAGCTAACCTTTTTTCTGGTGGAATCTGCGAAAAAGATTCTCACATATTAACTGTATTCGTATCTGGATATTTTTATAACATTGAATTGCATGAGTTAAAGCTAATTATTATATATATAGTTTTTATAATTATTAATTATTATATATATTATATAATAAAAAAGTAAATATTTTTTTATTTTTATCTAAAATAAATTTTAATCTAAAAATAATATCAGCCTGGATCAGATTAAATTATAGTAAGTTCGATATCTAACTAGAGATAAAAGTAATAATACTGAAGAACGGACTTTGGGGATCTGCTTATTCGAAGATAGATGCCGTGTATTATACGTATTCTCGTGCTTAAAATGTATGCAAAACCGCCGTCTTCGCGATTACACTTACAGAATTGTATATTTCTTTGGACGCACCCGGTGAGTAGCCGTACGGTGAAGGGAGCCACACTGTATTCCAGGCTTGAGACATAGTCTTTAAATCGTACCAAATGTCTGTGTAATTGTGCCATCTGTAAATATCAGTCATTATCTGTTTTATCTTATTATTATGGCAATTTCTACAATTTACGAAGACAATTTGAGAAGTATCTTGATTTTATTAACGTTTGAAAATCTTTTATTTTTCTTAAAATTCAAGGTACGATGAATTCTACTTTTGTATTAGAAATCTGCATCCTTGTCTATCGCTTCATTTTTTATTTTACTTGTCGGAAGTTGCCTGATACGTAATAATTCCAGATTCTACTACTCACTTGACACAGTTTGCATGAGAGCAGAAGTCAATTTTCAAATGTATATCGACAGATCGCAGGATTTTTTGGCGTGGTGCATAAAGATGCAAAGACTCGTGAGTTATAATTGCGTAGGCCCTGAGGACGGGAGTGTGCGGTAAATCGTAGCCACGAACATTGAAGAGCCACGCTATTTCATCCAACGCGGTGACGACGAGTGCGTCGACCGACGAATATTCCATTTCCAGCCGAATACTCTGAACTTTCTCTTGCCATGGTTTGCCGGAGTATTCGTCCGTCAGCGGATATGCTGCGTGCGGATTGTACTTAGGTCGACCCACCTGCCAGATCAAGTCCACTAGGTCGTTATGGACTGCGACCAATCTTACGGACGAATTCGCTGAATACGAATAGGATTGTCAGTCGCGGTGAAAAAAGATCGGATTTGGCTTCGCGATTCATGATAGTTATAGAATTTGTGAATTTTTGAAATTTGAAAATGAATCGAGAAAAATATTTATCATCAAAGCAATATTTTTGTACACAACAAAAATATTATAGATTTTTATTAGTGTGTAAACTATCTCCTTCGGCAATAAAAATATGCACGTGTAGGCTATATATATTTAATATATTCAATAACATCGCAATAAAGAGATATTTTTGGTACAATAATATTTTTCGTTACCTAATTCGTGTTCCCATGTCTCCCACGTAAATGCAGGTATTAATTTTGGATTAGCACCAATACGTACTGCTGATCGATTTTGGAACTCTTGCATTAACCATTCTGTTATTGTTGGTACCTAAAAAAATTAATGAAAAAATATCGAAATTTTATAAAGTTTCAATAATCTTTAAAATTTATACTAGAAATTTAAATGCCTTACGGTCGAAGCTGGATCTTCATTGTTTTTAAATAATTTAAACTTGAATTACTAATTTACTATATATGCAAATACATATATTAAAGTATATATTAATAATTTAAATTTGAATTATTTAAAAGCAATGAAGATCCAGCTTTAACAATAACAGGCATTTTAAATTTCTAGTATTGATTGTTCTTACATATACGATCTAAAATAAAGATTCTTAATATTGTTTAAAATTTATAATTGGTTTAACGTTCGTTACAAATTCTTATGTTATGGCGATATGAAGATCTTTTCAATATGTTCGTAATGTTATATAGAGAGTTTAATACTTTATCTATTAAATTATATCGAAGATAATTTTCTTTTTTCTATGACGTTGATATCGTTTTTAATTTAAGTCACATTTTCGGTTTGAGCGCTTTCTAGCGCTTCTATTCTCGTTTTATGTTTAATGAACGACAATGATAATTATAAACGTATATAGTATTTGATAGAAAAAAATTGTATCATCTGGGCAGCGTTCAACATTCATTACCAGTGCTGAAAATCTAGTGCAGGTACGAATGCTACAGATTTTTAATACTATTAGGCCCGATTATATTGGACATGCTATCTAGCGAAATACGCAATTATCATAATATCTTTGTCGTTTGCTAAATGTTAAACAAAGACGAAATGATGTGTTAATTACCGGCGGTACACAAGCCTTTTTTTCCTGCTAAGATTTGCGTTGCTATTGTATGGCTGCTGTGTTGGCACTGCTAGTATATTAACAGCGGTAACAAAACGCAAATACAGCTAGAAAAAAAAGCATCGTGTATCTCGTACTAATTGTGCATCCGAAATAGCGCGATTATGATAACTTTTTTCCCTTTAGAACGAAACGTGAAATTTTTGTATGTATATATATAAAATACATCAAAATATTCACTTTTCGTTTCTAGAGAAAAAGTTATATGATCGTCATTACTCAAATATTACAAAATTTTATGTTTTAATTTAAAAAATAACCACTCAGAAAGCCCTTCTTCCCCATCCCCCTCGCATTGAATGCGAAGGGCGAACGATCATTGATGACAGAATTCTCGAAACAATTCGAGAACTCGTGTCGTTCTCACGCTCAGAGAAGAGAGCTATTTCTCTTCATCATGGTTACATCAACTCCCATGTTAGGGAGGGAGAATGAGATCAACTCCTACAGAACTGATCCTGTGAAGTATGATCTTAAAATTATCTCGCTGCATCGTCGTAGATATAGTAGTCGTGGTCAAATTTTAAACACGAGAAAACAATTCTCTGCGGAGCCATCTAGGAAATTACAGAACAGTTAAACTTAAATCTAGATAGTCTCGCCATCTGGGGACCGGCTAGGTTACTCAGAACAGTGATCAGGGTAACAATTATGAAACTCCTTTTTCCTAGGATGAAAGTGAAAAGTGAAAAATTTCTCCATTAACTTCAATGATTAAAATTTTCACTTTTCACTTTTCATCCTAGGGATAAAATTTCATGATTGATATCCAGAAGAGGACGGCAACAGAAAGCATTTGGTATCATCAGAATAAAAGTAAAGAATTATCAGATAAAAAAATATATAATTTATTATATATTTTTAAACAATAAAAATATTAAATAATAGTATATTTTTATAATTAATTTTATTTTTAACGTATTATTAAAAATACGTAATTATTAAAAAATTTTAATTAAATTATGAGATATATGTGTGTGTGTGTGTGTGTGTGTGTGTGTGTGTGTGTGTGTGTGTGTGTGTGTGATATATATATATATATATATATATATATATGTGTACATATATATAGTATACATAAATAATCAATGATTGATAAGCTTGCAAATTTAATATAAAATAAGGATTTTGATACGGAAATAATGACAATATTTAAATTAATTTACGCACGTCATGTTCACCTCGCTTCATTAAAATCCAATTGCAATCCAGCTGATGATTTGCTTGAACATGATATCGACCATCAGTCCAAAGTACTGCCTTGTCAATAGTGACTATAGCTACCCCAGCACTTCCGTGGAATCCAGTAAGAAATTCTCTTCTCATATCATGTGGATCTACAGCTTCGCTCTATATAAAAACAATTTGTTTTATTAATAAAAAAAAAATAAATTGATAAATATTAATATAATAACAGCCAAAGACTAGTAATATTAATTGCAATAATTTGAAAAAGAATTTTCATATTTACTGAATATTAAAATATGATAAAGCTAAATATTTGAACTTAAATCGATGTCCCCCAAATACTTCGTCGTCGATCAATAATAATTAACACTTAAATATGTCTTTTATTACAAATTGTTTATCATTGTCTTTTATTTTTTATTTTATTATTTGGTATAACTTAAGAATATTTTTATTAAATCCCAAAATTAGTGAAACGTTTATATTGGGAAACATGGATTTAAAAAATTGGACACTGCACTCAAAATCAAATAAAATTTAAATTTGAAATATTTTAGTAAATACAAAATGGCTGTTTAACGTATCAGTCAAGGTAATTAAACTGCAAAATGTTATTTTCCATATAAGAGAAGCTTTCAAATATGATACACCACGCAGAATGTACCTCTAGGGGGCCATCACGGCCATGAGATATGAAGCTCACTGTCTGAAAAGCATAATGAGAGAAATAATATTTAACACGTATTAATTGATTTAAAACAATGTGGACATATCGATGTCGCTACCAATCGGCTAGATAATACAATGAAAATAATATTACACATTAGGCTTGATTTTTATAAATGTAGTGATAAATATTATAATAGCGAAATAACAACAATAATTAACATTAAATTATTGATATTAAATCACTCGTCTTTCGACTAGTCTTTTTAAGACTAAGCGATCGCAGTGATGAATTTTAATAATATTTATAAATATGTTGATTTTCTTTATCACAATGATAAATGAAGAATCACACAAACAATCATCGCCATATCAATGCCTTAATTTTTATAATTAAGACTAGGATCTATTAACGCGCCAATTACAAAGATATGCGATGATATGTGCGAATAGATTTCTGGACAGGCAAATCATAATTATCAATATCGAGTGGTAATTTCATTGACATAGAACAATATAGAACTCACTTGATGTTCGTCATCCGATGTAACGATGTAACCATCGAGAGCTGGCCCTTGAATTGCCACTACTCGAATCATCTCGGATCTTAATTGTCTCAGTCGCAGAGAACTGTCTTGTCGATCGACCGGTTGATTCCCAACATAAGCGTTCACTGGACAGTATAATCTCTCGGCGCCATTATAATTATGCTCCGGATTCAATAGTGTGCTAGTATTAGCTTTCGTCAATCCTGCAGCACAAGCACATTTCATTTTTCAATTAACAATTTTAATAAAAAAAGTTGATTTGTGAAATTAAATTGCAAAACAGAAATTAGATTGATATAACAGAATATTAAAGAAGAAAAGAGAAACATACAAAAAAATGTAATTTATCTTAAAAGAAGAAATAAAATATATATATTTTAATTATATTGTGTATAAATAATATATTTAAGTAAAATAAAAAATATAAAGTAATATATAGTAAATATACAATAATATCAACTTTAACAGCAAATTTAAAATATAAAAAAAGATTGGAGGCGCCGGGTATCGATCCCGGTACCTCTCGCATGCTAAGCGAGCGCTCTACCATCTGAGCTACGCCCCCCCCCGTATGATCTGGATCGCTGGAAGGATTAGGTATATATAATTTATATCGCAAAATAATTATAATATATAATTATATATAATTATAATATATAAAATATAATTATAAATTATATTTAGTCATTATAAATTAATTGAAACAGATTTTTAAAAGATATGTATCTGATTTTGTGTAGAAAAGTATAAAGTAAATGTGTACGTAGTGCATGTATCTGTAAGCATATTTATTGCGTATATATGTATAGATAAAAAAATGTTTTTTAAATAGAAAGATTTAAATAAAACGAAATAACTGTTTGACAGAGTCTATCATCGATTAATATGATTCTGATATAATAGTTTTGTATTTTGTCTTTCTCTCTCTCTCTCTCTCTCTCTCTCTCTCTCTCTCTCTCTCTCTCTATATATATATATATAATATGTGTGTGCGTATGTGTGTGTGTGTATGTGTGTGTGTGCGCGTGCGTGCGTGTGTGTGTGTGTGTGTGTGTGTGTGTGTGTGTATATATATAATATATAGTGTATTATGCAACTTGATAAAATGAAGGTTTACGAAGACTTTTTTATCTCTATCAAGTACTAAGAACGCACTTTTGTCGAAATTAAATGTCAGTAAGCAGCTTTCTTTCTCATAAATACGTATGTATTTCAAAATGCATTTTAAACGATCTATACTTAATTCACATCAGATTTGAAAATAAAAATCTGTTCATAATTGTACATGCCGTGCATTTAAATTTACATCTCAATACGTCATATATTTTTGTATTCTGATTTTTAATTATTTTCTTAAATATTTTATGCCGTGTATAAAATGTAAATAGAATTCTATCCTGATTTCTGATATTAGGAATTATAATTATCGTTCAAAGTATGTTATATGCATTAAATACACATATATTCAGAACATTAGGCCCGTTCTAAGCAAAAGCGCTTATTTAGAAAACCTAATTAAGGGTTAGTAATAAAAATAGAAATATAGAACAACGCTGAAATTGCACTAAATCGAGAAAATTGCAATTGATGATCTGTGAGAGAGCCGATTATAAATGTTCTCTGGCAAATTGAAGAATTTCATGTAAATGTTTTAGCAATATCTTAGTAGGTTTTTAGAGTCTTACGATCCCAAAAGGTGGACGATGAGCAACGTGACGTAACTCAAATTAACTTCATTAATCAGAAACTAATTTGATTTTTATTACATGTAGTATACGTCCCATGGGAATCCAGAGGGTGTGCTAAGTGGTGCTCATATACCAGGAAAGCATATCGAACTTGGAGTTTGATCGTCCCGAAACGTACGTTTTGATCGTTACGTGTATTGAGCCTTCACCGGTATCTTACAAGTAGTATACATATAATCGATTAAATGCGTGCCTTTTCCTTTTCTTCCTTTTTTTCTTCATTTTTATTTTCTTGCATTATTGAGTCTATCTTTCCGCAAAACGTAGGACAATGCGCGTCGCTCATGATAGGTAATCAATTTCGTGAGCGAATGGATCGAATATAATTCGAACGAGATCATATACTTATGCCTTCGCGTATTTTATCATTAATGCATCGTAACCGGGTCAGCGTATTGTTTAATTTAATAATTTAACGTAAACATCAAGTAATATTAAATATATTACTAGGGAAGTAGGAGCGTGCAGTAGGAAAGTTTTACTCCGATGTAACCTTACAATTTTCAGCTCAGGTAATTTTCCCTGTAATTTTCCCGTGTTCTGTAAAGGTCACGTCGCTCACCCCTCTTACAGTATTAGGTATTCACAAATCTTTCCTTATCCCTTATTTCTTCTAGTTGTTGAAGATATGCCCCCCATCAGAGAAAAGAAGTTCGTTATGTTATATACAATAGACATCGCACGTAGAATTTATACGTATATCATCAATAAAATTGGAAAACACTTTTTTCCATATAATAAATTCTTAATTATAAGGAAAAAATAAGAAGAATTGTTGTCTTAAGATAAAGTATTGTATTGTATTATTCCTCATTAGACAAAGGAAAGTAAAGAACTTTAATTAAAATAAATTTAACGTGATGTTTATAAAAATTATCAAATTAATATAAAATGTGTTTAAACCTTATAACTCTTTCATAAATAGTAAAATAGTTTAGTTTTTTACAAGTTGAGTGTTGTATAATTGTGTCGATTACTTGTGCGATAAATATAAAAATAAAAGCGTTTAAATTTATTTGTATTATTTTGTAATCTTTTTCAGACTACGTTAAAGTAATAAATAATGTGATAATTAAAACAACAAATATTTTCTAAATGTTTAACATAATGGTTATGAGAATAATGGTAATATGTTTATAATAATTAAAAAAAGTAAAAGTACCAGGAAGTAATAAATATTCCTTCTTAAATATTACATTCTCTATATGTCAAGACAACATTTTGTAAATAGGTAACAATATTTAACAATAAATTTGTGTGTTATATAATGTTTTGTATTAATATTATTCTAGCGATAAAAACGCGAGTGGTTCATTTTTGCAAACATAACATGTTTTACTTTCTAATTTTAATAACAAAAATATTTAAACATTTAAAACAAGTATAATATTACTTGTATAATATTACATGTGAAAGTATAATATTACATGTAAATAATTATTCCTTATCAAGTACGGTGATTATCTTTTAAATCCAATTTTACGAAGTTGCTTTTTTTGTTTCTTTTTTATAAGTCTTTATTAAATAATGATATCGAGGACACTGGTACCGAATAATCAATATCGAGGACATCGCTTTCCGAGCTTTTACCAGGCTACTATGAATTTCTGGTTATTCTCGAATGTAGGGCAAGGTAATGTCAAGGAACAATAATCAAGAAGTGCTAGTAAAAAAAAACAAATTTTTTAAAATTATTATTCTCTACATATATGTAAAGTTAATTTCTTCTAAAAGCTAAAAACATAACCAAATAATATATTTTATAATATAAGATTTTTATTTTATCCTTGGATTATAATACGAGTATGTAAGTTTAATTTAGTGATAAAAATACAAACATTTTATTTTTATAAACGTTTCACTTTTAATATATTCTACTTTCGGACTTCATGCAATGAAATATTTATAAAAATACAAGTAATATTACTTGTACATGTTGCATGTTAATAATTATTCAATATCAAACATAATGATTATTCTTTGCTGTTTTAAAAGTGCTCTTTTTCGCTTTTAGTCCGAATCTACAATAGGTTTTTAAGCTTTATAGCCATAAGAAATAGACGAATCACATTCGATTGTTCTCCTCGCTTTCGATTGTAATTGGTCAATTTCTTACGGCTTAAGACTTACACCTATTGCAGATCCGGACTTACTCTCGGTTGATATCCAAGAAAACATAGTACTTTCGAAGATATCAGGCTATCATGAATTTCTGGTTATTCTTATCTAAGATAAGATAACTTCAAGAAACGACATCAAATGAACAAAGAATTGAGAGACAATAAAAACAAGTTTCTTTTTAATTATTATAACCTTTATATATATATATATATCTAGAAAACTTATTGTAAAAAGTAATAAATTAATATATTTTACAATACAAGATTTTCCTGCGTTTAACAGTCTTAAATTATAACATTATCTTGTAAGTTTATTTTAGCAATAAAAATATAAATGTGTTTTATTTCTTCGAAGCCTGATAATCGATTGCTCCTCGAATTTGATCGATGTTGAGGTTGTCCTTTCCTGATAATATCAGGCTATCATAAACCTCTGGCCATTCTAACGCGCAGGGTAAGGAATGACACTTTTATAAGTATACATATGTATATGATATATCCTACTGTAGGCTTTGTATCATAAAAATAATTTATAGGGATACATAAATAATAATGTAATGTATATCTTAAAGCTGTTACTTTTGATAACTTTAAAGATTTGAAGTTTTAAAAGAATTTGAATTTTCGAAGTTATACCGTTAAATTATAATGTCATGTTATATCCAACTTGAGTTATTTTTAATTATTTTCATAGATTGTCACTGCTCAAACTTAATATGTCGTTAATTTAACTGAAACAATAAGTTAAATAATTTAATTCAAGAAAATGTATTAAAGACTCAAATTTATTATATTATTTTCTAAGTACATATGTTAATATGAACATTATTTATTTTACAGTGGCAAAAATAAAAAAGCGTAAATCGAATGTAAGGGGAAAGTAACAGAAGTTAAGTTTAAACGAAGTTTCTGTTACTCTCCATTTATATTTGATTTTTATTTTTGTCAGGAAATTAATCACAAAAATGGATTACATTTTAATACACATAGAAGTTAAAAATAACAAATAACAAAATGTTATTTTTTAATTCAATGGAATGAGTTATTATTGCTTCTTTGATATCTCTAACAAAGTTTTGAATATTCGAAGTTTAAGATGCTTCAAAAACTTTGAATATTGATCACTTCTCGATATGTGGAGATCGATAGTGGATATCGAGGTTGAGGTTTTTCTCGAAGATATCAGGTTATTATGAATCTCTGGCTATTCTAACGCATATGGGGCAAGGAACGACTCAGCGAATGGCGAAGAATTGATGTGGAGAAGGTGCATAGCAATAAAACGATTTTTTTCGGGAGATATCACGGAGGGGTGAACTTGAAGAGGCCAAAGCG